AAGTAAAAGATAAAAAAAAAAAAGAGAGCAAAAATCGAACGACAAATAGTAAAAATATCAATCGCAATTTTAATAATAAGATGGAATTACAATTCTTCAAGATTATCATATTAGATTCACCTCTTCCAGTCAGCAAGATAGTTTCCATTCTTGGCAAAATGTTATATAACTTTCTAAAGAAGGGAAAAGGAGGTTATTAGCTACAATTGTAGGATTACAATTAATCAATTATATGTTAAAATTATGTAAGGTTTATCAAAATTTTGTATGAAATAGATTCCCATATTTCGGCCATCGGTCGTCACACCGACTGTCATCAATCATCGTTCACCTGCGTTGGAATGTCACTAAAATTTACCCGAAAGCTGCTCTTAATCTCCTCTGCATATCTATCAGCTTAAATTTTTTTCAAAAATCTCTCTTCTTCCAAAAAAGCCAAAAGAAATCAAATCTTAAAAGCCTAAATCTACCTCTGATAGCCGCCAAACTTTCTCCGACCTTCCTCACTCTCCCTTAAGTTTTCTCAGTTGAGATTTGAAAAATATATTCTAAAACCCCTTGAACCCGAACTTCAAATCTTAGCTTTCCCAAGATCCTAGCCAGTCACAGTAATCATAATCAGCAAGATGATATGGGATTCATCGCTTAAGTTCTAAAGATGGTTTCTTTGGAAAGCTTGCAAATGTTCAACAGCAACAACAAATGATCCAAGACGGAATTATGGGAAAAGCTGCAAATCTACATCTTCAAGGGCAGTTTCCACTCATGAGCTTTTAAATGAGTTTTGCAACCTCGGAACAAAGCATTTGATAAATCAAAGCAAAAGCAAAGCCATAAGACGAAACAAAGGAATGATGAGAATGGAGCTAGCTCTTCAAGGAAGCAATTCCTTTATTTCCTAACATCATGAGTTACAGAGAAAAAAAAAAAGCTGCTTTAAATGTTGTAAGAGGTATGAGATATGTGTTTCGATATCATCTTTTAGTCCTCAAAGATCGTTTCCTTTTCCATCTTTTCAACAAAAGGAACATGTCTTTTTAATCCAAATTATGAAGTATATAGCCTTGAAATTTTACTAGGTAGTTGAGGTTCGGTGAGATATTAGCGGTGAATTGCTTTTGGAGTTTTGAGGTTCATTTGAGTTTTTAATTTTTACTATATTTTTTAAGCAATTAATTTTTTAATTATAATATTTTTTAAAAAATTCTGAAAAAAATTCACTTAAATTTATTTATATACCATGTGACATTTCAACAAATCCGCATCATCATAAATTTTATTAACAATCAATCCAAATATCACATTAACAAATCAAAAGTTATATCAGCAAAATAAAAAAAAAAGTCAATAAATTAACTAACATGTTAACAAATCTGGTGAAAAAATTTTAACAAAATTAATTATTAGACTAAAATTATCATACCAATTTAGTAAAAGAATCACATTTTATGTTATAATAAATGTATTAGATCTCAAATTTTATCAAAGTATAAAGATTGATGACAGAATTTGACTCTGATTAATTACAAAATTATAGTGAAAATAATGTGAATTTTTATATAAATTTTTATTGTGATTGATTAATTAAATTTTTATATAAATTTTTTATTGTGACCAATTATTTGCGAAAGTATAGCGAAAGAATTGCAAATGAAATTTTTTTTTTTAAAACAAAGTAATTTTGACTTCCTAACAAGTGATGATGGCAAAAGGTCCTCTGATGTTGGTTTGGAAAATGTATATTAAAAGGAGAGAGAATCTCAATTCTATCACGTCGACGATATGTTTATTATAGATGTTAATTTTATTTTCGTATCGGCTGTACCGATTAGTATACTTTATTTATATTAAAATATAATATATTTAAAAATAAATTTTTATATTAAATTTAGTACCTAGTAATATCAGTTATTTTCATTGATTTTGACTAATTCTAATGAATTTTAATGAATTAATTTATTTCGATTTATATGTAAAATTGAAATATATTTTGTAATTTTTAATTTATTTTTTATTGTTTGATTATTTTTAACTTAATAAAAATAAAATTAATTGATAAAATAACCATTAAAAGTTGAGTTTTTTATTTTTTATTGTAAATTTTTGTATATATTTTATTTTTTTTTATCAAAGTTTATAAGAATTTCAATTTCTTTCAAAGTTAGCAATTATATTTTCTTTTTAAAGTTTAACAATTATAAAGTCACGGTTAATTTTTAATCTCTTTGTTTTTATCTTAATATTTATGTAAAAAAATATTTATTTAACTATCATATGATTAAATTAAGTGCTTAAAAATATTATAAAAATTTAAGATATTTTTTTAATACTTTTAAACTTATTTATTTAATTTTTTAAATATTTGCATATTGGTTTTGTAAATTATTAATAGTATTATAATATATAAATTCATGTACATTTATAAATATATTTGTATTAAATCAAAAATTTTAAATAATATGTTGAAACAACAAGTACCATATACACTATATTTTTAAAGAAAATCAAAACATTTTTGGTACAATATTAACAATTTTGGTCTCTACTCTTGATGATTACAACTAAAAATAAATGATTAATTTTGGATTTAATATTTATATGTTTTTTAATTAAAATTATCATCTTTATTTTTATTCAATTAAAAATTAAATGTTTACGAATTTGTTCAATATAGAACTTCGCAATTGGAGTGACTTATACCCACATTTTAATATAGGGTGGGATGATAAAAATTGATAAAATTATATTTTCAACTAAAATAAAATAAAAAATGATTAAAAGAAAAATATTAGTTCACAAACTTTATCATTAATTCAATTAAGGATTAAATATTTACAAATTTCCTTAATATAACACTCCTAACTACAGTGACTTATACCTGCATTTTAATAAAGTGGGATGATGAAAAAGGATAAAATTATATTTTTTCAATTAAAATTATAAAAGGTGATTAAAAGAAAAAAATTAACTCACAAATTCTATCATTTTCTTTGCATACTTTCTCACATCCCAACACTGAAAAATTCAATAAAATTTAAAAAAAAAAACTCCAAATCCAGAATGAAATTATAGTACATTAATAATCAATCTTTAAAAAACAAATCTAAATCCAAAAAAATAACAAACTCAAAAAACCAAAATTTATCTTTGTTTCCAAAAGCAACCCATCTTTTGCTCTCATTTTCTCATATTTCTTCAACACTTTCTTTTAAAGACATCTCCATTCGCCCTGAGTGTCCCGCACCACCCCAGTTCCACCACCGCACTCTTGCTATGCCTTTTGAAATTCCTTTTTTTTTTTTTTTGTTTACAGAGAGAAGTTTGGGAAGAAAAAATATAGGGTATTATTTTTGGGTGGCGTTGTTAGTGAGAGAAAGAAAGAGATGATAGCATTTTAACGGCTAAATATAACTATTATAGGATTTAACGGCTTGTGAAATTTATCGCCATTAAAAAGTTTTATGTTGACCAAATTTATAAACGATTGATTCTTAATTGAATCAAAATAAAAATTATAATTTTAATCAAAAAAATATCAAAACATTAAATTTTAAATTAAGTATTTAACCATATAAAATTTGTCAATTGGTTATTAATTTATATGGCATGCATGCTGGTTACAGATTCCAAAGGATTTATATTTATAATATCTTCTCATATAAATTAAGGATATATTTGATATATAAGATTATAATATGATAGAATAAAATGATATTATGAATAAAATTAGATTAAATAATTTTATCTTGTTTTATATTTGATGTGTGTAAAGATTAAGATAGAAAAATTTATTTATTAGTCAAAATTATCTTTTTTTAAATTTATATAATTTAAATTATTAATATAACTTTTAATAGTATAACAGAACATATAAGTTTAATCTTATAAATTAAAAATAATCTTTTTTATTTTGAAAACATTAAATCATCCTATACCAAGAAGATAATTAATTTTTTTCTAATTTTTATCATCTTTTTTAACTACAAATCAAATATAATATAGGATTATTATCATTTTATCATATTCATCATTTTATGTACTAAACATAGACTAAATGGATAAGGATTGGAAATAGAAGATAAATTAAAATTAAAAAAAAAAAAAAAAACTACACAAAACCTTCAAATGATTTTGATTTTGATTGGAAACTTGAAGAATTGAACAATTTCAATACTAAAATCCACCCACTTTGCAATTACAGTCCCCTGTTTTGAAATGTTCAAACTGGTACAAACATGATCATTGTGAAAAAGAAAATTGAATTGTTTAGATTTCAGACCATTGGGCTTCGTAATAAAAATAAAAATTTTCGATTTAGTTTTAACGTCTCCTTGATTGAAAAAACAAACTAGGAGATTAAATTTGATCCATTTGAAAACATCAAATTTTTTATTAACTTGAAGGAGAAGATAATTATAAAAGAGCTATTGTCAATTTACTCGTAAACTTTACACTTTTTGCAGACAAAAAAGTTAGCAATAAATCAACATCCAATGTTTTTCTATAAAAATAGCAACTAACCAATGAATGAATTGCTTATGAATTTTATAAGTCACGACTGATTATAATTACAAATGATACACCAAATTGCAGCTTTAGCGAAAGCAATCTGATAAAGGAAAAATACTTAGAAAAAGAGCTTTTCTGATTCTTTTGGTGATCAAACAAATTAACTTCTGAGAGTCATGGCAAGGTTCCAAATGATCTGTGTCAATCTTCAACAAGCTGGCAATACCGTCTATACAAGGCACTGAAGCTGGGGGGCCACCGGGAGAATCCTTGGCCATGAACCTGCAACCAAGCGCTATGATGAAAACAAAAATTTTTGCTTTTCAGTTTGGAAGCAGTGTTTTATGAACCCAAGGATTAATACTAAGTGAAGCTTTGATAAGATACTCTGAATGTTCCATAAATGAGCAACTTTTCACAAATATATATTGGCCATGTTCAAGATACATAAAGGAACACTAACAGAATTTACATGGAAGTTTCAACTGGTATGTAAACTCAAATGTAGAACCTATATATGTATCTCCTTTCAAGAGTATATATAATGCACAACACATCATAGAAAATTGATTTAATCACAACCTTCCCCTAGGTAAAATAACTACTTACATGTACAACATCTCAGATCTCAGTTTTCCAAAAGCTGCTTCAAAAAATATCGGCAGCATAATTGATGCTAATTATGTTTATAATGACATCTACCAAAAGGCACCTTTGTTCTGTATGCAGGAACACTGTTCTTGCAGTGATCATCTACCATCATTCATGTAGGATCTTCCAAGGCTAGGCAGGCTCACGAGGACGGGTAGCCCATAGTGTACTTAGAGCCCGAAGACGTTGGAAGTATTCTCCCAAAGCAAGTAAGCCTCGAGCTGCCTGGCGAGTTGTTAGGATGCGAGACATCTGATTCAGTGTTTCCTGCTGAAGGTGGTCCGCCTGCATATAGAAAAATATCAGACATTAGTTGAAACTTGAAAACATCACGCAGATGCCTTTTTTTTTTGGTTATCAAAACATTAATAAAATTTATTATGTAGATTTTAAAGTAATAAATTCTTCTAAACTCAGTTTTAGAAAATAGGACCATGTTGTGCACATACTTTGTGACTCCGACTACCGTCTCTAATTGAACTGAAATGGTTGTCACCAACCTAGTTCACAACAATAAATCCATTGACCAAGACCAGCACAGTTTGGGACCCATAGGTCTGGGAATCCCTAGGTTTTCCGAAATAAGATACTCGTCATAGCGGGTGCAGCATATATTGTTAGACATCATTTTGAAATGCAAAAGAAACAAGTACGATTAAAAACCCTTGAGTTAGCTATTATAATTTCACTTCAAACGAATGGATGGAGAACCAATTGATGGGTACACTATAAGGACTATGAAAAGGAGAGCAAACGCAGAGAAAAAACTATCTGTGAAATGTTCTTGCTGATAAACCCTTGTGAGTCACCATGGGATGATGCAATTATTACCTGGTTCACAAAGCTGACTAAAGCTTCTAACTTTTCCATTGCAGTAGCCACCTGAGGAATGTAAATACCTTCGCCCAGTTGACCAGCTGCTACAGTTGCAGACACAGTTTCCTGGAGTTTCTCCATACCTTGCGAAAGCGCGTCTTCTGCCTGCTGACATGATTGTTTCAGGTTACAAACTTCCAAGAATTGATGTTCTGTCAAGGAGTCAAGCTGAGTCACAAGCACCTGCAATCAACATAATAAGCAAATATTATTCTACATTTAGCAATAGAACTTGGACAAGAATTCCAATGAAAAATACAAGAAATTATGTCTTTCAAGTAACATGGAAGTACAGAGTTACTTTGCTAAAGAAGCATTGATTAAAGGACAGAGTTACTTCGTTAAAGAAGCATTGATTAATCAATGTGCCCAATGATGCTGTAATCACGAGCAAAGAAAGACCAAACAGAAGCAATATTAGAGTTACAATTGGCCAAGTTAGTGTTTGTGCCAGGAAACTAATATTTTGTTGGAGATAAATAACACTGCAAAACCCTAAAAGGGAGTAATTACAAAAGATTGTCATAGAAAATCATTGTACATAACTGTTTATTGTTTGTATATGCACCAAGGGGAGGGGAGGGGGTTTCTAGTATGGACTTAGCAGTCTCTTTTAGGATAACTAAAATATTGATTGCAGGATGAACATGTTAATAACTAAAAGAGATCTGTCTGGATCAACAGAAAAGCATTCAGAAGAACATAATAACCCCTTGATGAGTCAATATAACCGCAAATGTTAAACACATTGCAAGGAATAGATATAGTTGCAATTCTCTAACCAAAAATGATATGAACAATTGAGGAGAGAGAAAGGGCTCTATATTGATCAAGTCAAGATAGACCTATTGACTGAAGAAAAAGCAAGATAAACAGAGAGAATATATTAGTTTAGTAAGCATTGTTTCCACAACTTTTGAGATTCAAAAATAATAATAAAAAAACTTGAAACCGTTTTTTATTAAGCAAAAAAAAAAATCCAAAAGTTTGACATTATTATCTATAGACATTATTTGCACATACATCCATATATAAATAAGTCAAAAATCAAAATAATATAGTCATTCATTTAAATTTCATCAGTGCCACCGTGCAGAAAGAATTTGCAGTTAGATCCTCTGCTATAGGTTCTTCCCTCAAAAGACCTATATGAAAAAAGGAATGCATGATCTACAGTTAATTAAACTAAAGTATGCATCACCTTAAGAAGTTCTGAAGGGCGAAACCCTCCAATCCATGAGAAAAATTGCTCGCCTGATGTTTTCCACATGCCAGACATCACATAGAAAACATCAGCCTTAGCAGCAGTTGATTTCAGGCGGAAAAGTTCAGAATAGTGGCCCAGGCCACTTTCCACAAGTATGCCAAGCTCTATATCGCTTATATGGGCATTCAAAGCGGTCCTGAGTTCACATATTTGTCTGTTTTGTTCTTCCATCCAATGTCCGTATTCCATCTCAAATGCAGCAACCCCTGCAGAATCCCTAAAATGGGCTAATCATTGAAAACATCAAAGAATAAAGATTAACTTGTAATGAGAAGAAAAAGGCACCATAGATAATTATAGAACAAAGATCACATTTAACACATTAGAGAGTTGTCAATAAAGCTTTATATCATACAAAAAACTTTCAAGATGGTGTGACAATTACACTCTATCAATATCAACAGCCTTAAAATGCCTTTCTAGCACACAAATATGTCGTAACGGTTTTGTGTGTCCATCCGACAAATTTGAAAAATAGAAAAATATGGAATCGTCACCAATCTTTTTTTGTTATATGCGATTTGCCACATATTAAAATTTATCCGTTTAATAAGATTTTAAAATTAATTAAAATTTATTAAAAAGATAATTTTATGGTTTGCGAAACAGTCTGGATTCAAGAGTCGGTTACACATGGGGAAAGATTAGCACCCTCACAACGCCCATTTAAAAACAGTACCACTTAACTATATGTTATCCATTGATTTAAATAAAAGCAATCTTATTTTCAGTGTTTGAAAAATAATTTTCTTGATTTTCTTTGTTTGTTGAAATTTTTTTGTTATTTGATTTTTTCTTATTTAGTGTTCAAATTTTATTTGAGAAAAATAAATTAAAACCTTTTTATCGAAATAATGCTTAAAATGTTTCAATACGTTTGTAACATTAAAAACATTTTCTCACCTAGAGATTTCATTGGCATCATTTCTCGAAATACCTTAGAATCTCATCCTCGAAGATTCGGATTTATTTTTTGTAAAAATCATGTTGTGCATGCAATGCAAAAATGCTAATATGTTCATGCACATATTTTATTATTGATTATTATTAATATTTATTTGAATTTTTGAAGAAAAGAGGAATTTTTATTATATTGAAGTTTTTTATAAATATTTCAATATACTAGTAATATTTAAAAAATCTTCTCACCTAAGAATTTTTTAAAGCATCTTTACTTAGAATACTCTTAGAATCTCGTCATTGGATAAATTTTTTTTCTCATTTTTTTATCACCTTATTTTTAATTTATTAGTTAATTTTTGTTTACTAGTTTTTATAAAAAGAAAATTTTTATTGTATCAAAAATTTTTTATAAATACTCCAATACACTGGTAGTATTTAAAAAAAAATCTTCTTACCTAAAAATTTTGTAGGTATCGCTACTCAGAGTACCTTTGAATCTCATCATCAAATAAAAATTTTCTTTTTCCTACATTATTTATTATTTTATTATTATTATAAAGTTTATTTTTAAAAAATAACGAAATTATCACAAATTTTTTCTATATATTTCATTACTTATTTTTATTAATTATTATTATCAAACAACAAAAATTTATTTTAGTGAATTTAAATATATTTTAACATGCTTAAATATTAATAATAAAATTTAAAATAACAAAAATAAAACTTTTTAAAAAAATTCAACAAAAAAAATTTTTACTTGGACTGGACAGGTCAACAGTTTGGTCAAATATGGGTTTAGGCCAATTCGACGACTTGGTGTGGTAGTTCAACAGTTTTGACCAGTCTGAACCAGTTCACTAGTGGTTCGATACCGGTTCAACTGGACCAGTCTTGGGCTGAGGTAGAAGCGGGTAACGGGTCAGGTTACAAGGATCTCGGGTCGAATCTGGGTCCATGCGCGGATCCTTCCTGCTCCAAAATGGTGTCATTTTGGGCTTTGGCTTTTTATATAAAGTCAACTTTTTTTTAATTCATTTCAACCTTCTTCCAAAAAAAATTCTCAACTCAAAAAAAAAAAAAATACTTTCTAGCCTTCCCAGAATCCGACGCCAACTGCCCTGTCAGCCACCGCCAGCGGTCGCTGTTGATGGTCATTAGTGATCGAAAACGTCAAGAAAAACCTCAAAAATTCTACTCGACCTCTTCATTCTAGATCCAATCTCCCTTTTATGAGAAACCACCCCAATCGGCGTAGATCAAGGTTTAAAGTTTTTGAGTTCTCTTTCTTTTTTCTTGTAATTTTTGAAAACCCACACTAACTATCTTTTTTTTCTTTGGTGCAGGTGGCTTTTGGCGTTGAGGCTCTTTCCTACGGGATGATTGTGTTTTTTTATTTTGGTTTTTTTTTTGGGTAGAAAGAAATTTTTTTTTATTCTGGAAACTTTTTTTGTAGTAGGGTCTCATCCCTTTTCTTTCATTTTCGGATTCATTGCTCTATTTATAGAGTGAAAAGAAGACCAAAATCCTAGAAAATCTGAGATTTTGGTGGCCTAGGATTAAGGCTGCCATCGACTGTTAGAACAGCTGTCGATGGCTGTCAGGACTACTGGTAATGCAACTATAGACGGCTGTCAGAGCCACTACCAGAAAAAGAAAAAAAAAAGAAAAAAAATAAATAAATATAATAATAAAAAAATGTTGTTTACAGCTGTCCCTCTTTGCCTATTTTTGAGAATTAAGAATAAGACAAAGACAAATAGACAACCATTTTATTCGAAAAGAAGAAACATTAAGCATAAAACCTTTTTTTTTTAATTTAAAAAGCTCCTCCAATCAAAGGCTTAACAACTTTTAAAATTCATCTTGAAAAGGCTCATCTAAGCAGAAGCTCAACAACTTTAAAAATTCATCTTGAAAAAACTCTTCTAAGTAAAGGCTCAATAACTTTAAAAATTCATCGTTAAAAAAACTCCTATAAGCAAAGGCTTAATAATTTTAAAAATCCATCTTGAAAAAGCTCCTTTCAGCAGAGGCTCAACAACTTTAAAAATTTATCTTGAAAAAAAGAGGCTCAACAACTTTAAAATTTATCTTAGAAAAGCTCCTCTCAGCAGAGGCTCAATAACTTTAAAATTTCATCTTAAAAAAGTTCATTTCAACAGAGGCTCACACAACTTTAAAATTCATCTTGGAAAAACTTTTCTCAGTAGAGGCTCAATAACTTTAAAAATCCATCTTGAAAAAGCTCCTCTCAGTAAAGGCTTAACAACTTTATAAATTTATCTTAAAAAAGCTCCTCTCAGCAGAAGCTCAACAACTTTAAAATTTTCATCTTGGAAAAGCTCTTCTAACCAGAGGCTCAAAAGTTTAAAATTCATCATCTTGGGAAAGCTCCTCTAAGCAGGGGCTCAATAACTTTAAAATTTTTTCTTGAAACATAACTTCGAATATTACCATAAAAGGGGACTTAATCTTAGATATCACCACTGATAAGATGTTAATGACTTCGGATATCACCATTGAAAAACTCCAAATGATTTTTTAACACTTGAATATCACCACCGAGAATATGTGAATGACTTCGGATACCATCACCGAAAGAAACTCAGATATCATCATTGAAAAAATGTAATTCAAGCTTTAACACTCTGATATCACCACTGAGAATATGCAAATGACTTCGGATATCACCACTGAAAAAATGCAATTCAAACCTTGACACTTAGATATCACCACCAAGAAAAGGTAAATTGACTTCGGATATCACCACCAAGAATATGCGATTCAAACCTTGACACTCAGATATCACCATCGAGAAAATGTAAATGAATTCGAATATCGTCATCGAGAAAATGCGATTCAAACCTTGACACTCGGATATCACCAGTGAGAAAAGGCAAATGACTTTAGATATCGCCATCGAGAATATGCAATTCAAATCTTGACACTCGGATATCACCACTGAGAATATGCAAATGGCTTCGAATATCGCCACCGAGAATATGTAATTCAAATCTTGACACTCGGATATCACCATCGAGAAAATGCAATTCAAACATTAACACTCGGATATCACTACCGAGAATATGCAAATGACTTCATATATCGCCATCGAAGGAAACTCAAATATCACCATCAAAAAAATATAAATCACTCTTTAATACTCGGATATCACCTCGAGGAAATGAATTCAAACCTTGACATTCAGATATCACCATTGAGAAAATAAAATTCAAACCTCGATACTCGGATATCACCACCGAGAAAATGCAATTCAAACCTTGACATTCATATATCACCACTAGGAAAAAATGTAATTCAAACCTTGGTAACCTTGACATTCAGATATCACCACCGAAAAAATACAATTCAAATCTTGACATTCAGATATCACCATCGGGAAAAAATGCAATTCAAACCTTGACATTTGGTTATCACCACTGAAAAAATATAATTCAGATCTTGACACTCGGATATCACCACCGAGAAAATGTAAATGAATTTTTTTTTTATGTACGAATATCACCCCCGAAAATATGCAAATTCAAACTTTAAACTTGGATATCACCACCAAGTAATTTTGAAAATGTCTTGGATATCACCACCAAGAAAATGAAATTCATACTTTAATACTCGAATATCATCACCAAGAATAATTTATCATAATATTTTTCTTGAATACTGCCAATTTCACTGAGTTAACAACTTTTTTGCCAACTAAATTGGTCTTAAAGATCTCATTTTATGCCATCTCATTGAAATTCTTAAAATTTTTTAATCTTTTGAATATGTTTTTGCCCTTTTTTTTTCTTCTTTAATGCTTCCAAAATTGGTGAATACCATTATGATGCAAATGTCTTCTCTTAAAATGATGATGCAAATGCAAATCTCTTTTCTTAAAATGATGCACATGAAATGCAAATATCCTTTCCAAACATACCAATACACATATGCTTTACAATGAAGGACAAGCTAATGATACAAATGCAATGTCAAAAGGTTCAAATGCTCAATTTTTTTTTTAAAAAAGGTCAAGATATGCTACTGCCCAAAATCTTCTTTTCTTCAAAGTTTTCTTTTTTTTTCAATCCTAAATCTTCTATCTCAATTCCAAATCCTTTCTTTGCTGTACATTTTTCATCAATTTCACTTTTTTTCTTCTCAATTTGGATTTCTCAATTTTTTTTTCATTTTTTCATCTTCAAATCGAACATGCATATGACCAATTCAAACTTGATGAATTGAAAAAAATGAGCCATTGAACTATGGTAAAACGCAACCGATTAAACATACTTTTGTATTCCTATATTGCCCATTTATT